GATTAGTATTGGTTATCTGTTGGAGATGAATAGTGGAGGAGGAAATCTGATAAATAATAAATGTATTAGTTAGCTTTCTTTTGGGTAACAAGCCCCTCAAAACTTAGCACTTAAAACAATCAATACTTAATCCATGATTCTGAGTTGTCTGGGGTGGGTGGGATGGATGGCAGAGCTTTTCTAGTCTGTGCCAGTGTATTACTGATCTATTACTACATAACTAGTTACCCTAAAATTTAGCAGCTTAAAACAACAAGTATTTATTATCTCACGGTTTCCATGGGTCAGGAATTCAGGTGAGGCTCAGAAGGGCATCTCTGGCTGAAGGTCTTCATAAGGTTGCAGCCAAGCTGTCATTTAGGGCTGTGGTCTCATCTGAAGGCTAGCCTGGGAAGATATGCTCCCAAACTCACTCCCATGGGTCTCTCCATAGATCTGCCTCATGAGATTGCAGCTGGCTTCCCCTAGGGTGAGCCATCTGAGACAGTACCTGAAAACAGAAGCCAGTTTCTCTGTAACCTAATCTTGGAAGTGACATCCCATTACTTCAGCGTCATTCTGTTTACTAGAACCAAGTCACTAAATCCAGCCCCAGCTTGAGGAGAGGATTCTACAAAGGTGTGGCTACCAGGAAATGGGGATCATGCAGGGTCATCTCAGATGCTACTGACCACAGTGGGCTTGACCAGGGCTGGATGGCTAGTATAGCTTCATTTGTATGTCTGGCAGATGAAAATCTGGTTGGTGTAGGGAACCACAACAGGGATGGTTCACCTCTATGCCATCATGGCTCCATGAAGTCTCTCAGCATCTAACAGCATAACCCAGGCCTTCCCATACTTGTCCTTAGGACAAAGAGGAGCAAAAGTGGGCAAACCTCAGTGTGTCAGCACTTCTCAAACATCTACTTGTGTCGTATTTGCTAATGTCCCATTGGCCAAAGAAATGGCTAAGCCCGGTTTTAAGGGTTGGAGAAGTGGACTCTATCTCTTGATGGGTGAAGTGGAAGAGTCACATTGAAAGGGGGGCATACATTCTGATGTTAATGGCCAAAGGAGACCATCCAGACTTCTGTCTTCTGCCTAGGATGTAGACATCTGTAAAGAGCATAGCTCCCATTCTTAGAAGAAGAAAAAATATGGGCAATCTACAAAATCATAACTTTTCTTAACTCATCAAAGAAGTAAGACTGCAGAGAACCAATTATCTTGATGTATAAGACAAGTGTCTCAGAGGAGATAGGAAGTTGTCACTGGGTCACCTGTGGCAAAGCAAGAAGGAAGATGGGTCCACAGTACCAGCAGTAAGATTTCAGTAAGAAGTTTTAATGAAGTTCTAAAGGCTGAGTGTGGAATAGCACGAGGATATAGAACCCCTGAGAACTGGAGACCTAAGGGTAGTTGGCTTTCACATGCAGGCTCTTTGCTATAGACCTCCACTGGATGCTCACAAGAAATGATGGGGGTAGGGAAGGAGACCGGAGAAGGCCTCTCTCTGTGGTGTAGGCGTGCAAGGGGACAGCTGCTGATACAGAAATGGCAAAAATCCCCAGTGGGACCTTACTTCCTTACAGAACAAAAGCCTTAAACCACTGGGGAAGTGATGCAAACCCAGTCACACCCAGGACACAGGTGCAGATCCACTGTGGCTAGAGAAAAAGGAAAAGGAAAAAAATCTTCCATTCATGGGGGAAGGGCAGATAATCATCCTGAGCCAAAACACTAAAGGCCGTTTACCAACAGGGAGGAATGGGATCACTGAAAAAAAAAAAACAAAAACAAACCCACCCTCAAGACCTAGGGATACAAGTCCTGCAAGACTTAGGGATATAAGTCCTGCCTAAAACTGAGGTTGGCCCAGGACAACTCCTGACCCCTACTCATCAGGTTACCAAGACCCAAGTAATAACAGCAGTCTACTATTACGGGAGGGACACGGGCATGGAGAGAGATCTTCCCTGAGATGCAGGCACACAGGAAGGGCCTAAAGGCAAGGGTGGTACAAGAATACTGAGAAAAATTATCTGGAAAACCAGTGCCTACCCTAAGCCCAAGGTAATCCTTGAGAAATTTGAAGTCTATAGTTCAATGCAGGTACCACAGCAACAACAAAACCTAAACCCAGTCCAAATTCTGGCTAGATGGACTCCCCCTTCCCCGCCTTAATGATTTATCAGAAGAGCAGTCATGACTATTTCCAGGAATATTTACCTCGGTTTCTACTCTCCTACATACAACATCTGACATTCAGCCAATTTTCATCTAATTTTTATTAGATGCAAAACAGCAAGAATAAACAGTCCACTGTCAAGAGACAAAGCAATAAAAAAAATCCAGACTCGGCTGACCCAGTCGTTAGTACTATCAAATAGGGAATTAAAATTAACAATGACTAATGTGTTACAGAGGATGGTGGAAAGTGTGAACAACAGGTATGAACAGATGGGGAATTTCAGCAGAAAAGATGAAAACTCTTAAGAGTCAAATGGAAATACTAGAAATTAAAAAAAAAAAACATCTAACTGAGATGAAGAATGCCTTTAATGAGTTCATCAGCAGATCTAACAGAAGTAGGGGTTAAACAGACCTAACAGGGTAAGGGGTTAAAATCCATGAACCTGAAGATAGGGTAATAGAAATTAGCCCAACTGAAACACAAAGCAAAATGAAGATCGAAAAGGGACACACATATAGGGAGGGTAGAAATTTGTTAACATTTTTCTATCTAACACTATCTTCTGGTCATTAATTATTTATATTACCACACCATGCAAAATATGTTCACCCTCATTCCAAGGCCTCCAAATGTCTCATTCCAAATTAGGGCATTAGGCTCAAATACAGGACTTCAGGTCTTCTGTATCAGGTTCAGATGTGGCTGAAACTCCTTGGGTACAATTTCTCAGTTTCTTGATCCAGAGACCTGTGAGCTAGATGACAAGTTATTTGACTATCACCCCCGCCCATACACACACACACACACACACACACACACACACACAGTGGTGAGCTAGGGACTACTGAACTGCAGTAGATACTCTCATTTAAAAGAAGGGAGGAACATGAGGCACATCTTAGTCACTGTTCCTTAACAACTCTGAAGTCCCACAGAGCAAATGTTGACAAGTCTCCCCACTCCAGAAGCACATGATTCTTGACTGGGTCACAGTTCTACCTGGGAATGGCTTCCCAGTCCATTTTAATATATTGTTGTCAGGTCTTCTCTCTGAGACATCCTTCTTTTACCATAAGAAATGGCAGCTGAGTAACTTTCTCTGCTTGCTTCCCATTCATAGAAGTTAGAGAAGGTAGTCCAAGGCTGCTTTTCATTTTGGACTGTTTCAATTCCTTTAAGTCTAACCTGAAGGTAGTAAAACTCTATTGGAAACCTTATTGGTGTTCCACAAATCTCATTTGTATTTACTCCATGCCCCAAATGTCACATTGACAATTCTTTTTAAGACAGGCCCCTCTCTACTTTAGCCATGTGTCAGGCTATTGGATAGATGATGTAATGAAGTTCTTAGAAGCCATTTGGTTTAGCTGAAAGAGTCCCCAAAACACCAACTTAAACATTTCACACATTTTAACAGAGGGTCTTAATAGCCGTTTCCATGATTTGATCTCTACCCTGAGACCACTTTTCATCTTGAGATTATTTTGATGACTGGAGAAGCTTGGAGATGTGAGAAATAGTTATTTTCCAACCCAGCAAGTCCTGGATTTTTTTTTTGTTTCTTCTGAATTCTGCTTATAAATGGAACAGTTATTTCCTTATTCATCTCTCTTTTGCAGCTGAAAAGTAGCAAATTGATATTTCCAACATTCTGATGGAAATCTCCTTAGCCAGATCCACAAGTTCATTTGGTAGATTCTCTATCTTCTCACAGAGCATGGTGACTGTTTTGCTATTCTTTTCCTTAGTAAATTATACGAGCTGCTGTCTTTTCCAGTCTTTCTTAACAGTTTTCCTCATTGTTTCCAGTCTCCACCTGCCACCCAGGCCCAGAGCTAATGCCACATGTCTTATGTTTTGTATAATCCCCCCAACGAGTATACACTTTAAGGTATCGCTTAGCGTTTTCCGTGCAACAAACTACCCAAAACTTAGTAGCTTAAAACAAGAAGCATTTTATGTATCTCATAATTCTTTTGGTCGGCTGCAGCAACTGGTATGGCTCTTCTGGCGTGGGCCAGTTTGGCTCGGGCTGGAGGTTGAGGAAGGTCTCACTTTCATGACTGGAAGCTGGTCTAAGAGGCCTCCTATCTGTGCTCGCTCATCTCTGTTCCACATGGTTTCTCATACCCCCAGCAGAGTACTCTTGAGTTTCTTCACATGAAGGTCTCAGAATTCCAGAAAGCAGCAAGAGAAGACTCAAGGCAGACTTTCTCCAGCCTCTTGAATCTCTTTGCTAATGTACGTTGGCCAAAGCAAATCACATGGCCAAGCTCAGAGTCAAGGAGTAGAGAGCTCTCTACCTCTTAATAAAAGAAAGAAAAAAAAGAGAGAAAGAGTAACATTGCAAAGGGGTAGGCATAAAGGATGGGAGAGGTCTCTGGCTATTTTGCCACTGTACCACAATGAAAGAAGAGAAACAAACGATGTCGTGGAAACCAGTATGAATGCTAAGATTGTATTTATGTGTTCAAGTGAGATTATGTCTGCTGATGTGTATATATATAAAACCATAATGACTTTAAAACTGTGGATTCACATGAGGATTCAATAGGAAAGATATTTGATGGACACAGTTATATTAAATTCTAAAAAGAATTTCAATTCAATAACTCTTCCTGTTGTGTAATGGGTTTTGCCACAAACACCCTATGGAACTGAGAGTAGGTCTACATACCAGATATATGATTTTGTTTTCTTCCTTTCATTTTGTTGCCACTTCACATGGCTTAATAAAACACAGTAAACGTGACTGTCCTTCACATACGTTTGTATGTATACAATACATACAAATGGAGCTCCATCTATAAAGAATTTGGTAACAGTTTGCTTTATAATACTTTCTATAGGGAGGCTTTTCTGAACGCATCAAACTGACAGCATTTTTCCCAGTATGAATTCTATTATAGTGTGTGAGGCCCTGCAAACATGGAAAGTCCCTTTTATTCGACACATTCGTAGAGGGTCTCTTTTGAATAATTTTTCTCATCTCAGGTGGGAGAGGCTACATGGATGCTTTGGATCACGCAGCGTATTCATACAGGATCTGTCTTGGATGGATTTTAAAACACACACTTGGACCTGACTTCAGTGATAAGGCTTGCTCATTTGAAAGAAAAAGGGCTCCTTTCATGTATGAATATTGCGATGCATGCTCAGGACCGATTTCTGAGTGAAGCCCTTTCCACAGTCACTGCATTTATAGGGTTTATCTCCAGTGTGAATTGTCTGGTGTTTATTGAAATTGGACCGGTCAGTGAATGCCTTCCCACATTCTGCACACATGTACGGTTTCTCTCCCGTGTGAATTCGCTGATGTACTTTGAGATGTGGTTTCTTGGAGAAGGACTTCTCACACTCAGGACATTTATAAGGCTTCTCTGTGGTATGAATTCTCTGATGTGTAATTAACTCTGATTTCTGGATGAAGGCCCTCCCACAATCAGCACAAACATACGGTTTCTCTCCGGTATGAATGGTCTGGTGCTTATTGAAATTTGACCTGTCCGTGAAGGCTTTTCCACACTCGGCACATATATAAGACTTCTCTCCAGTATGAGATTTCTGGTGAGTATTGAGATTGGACCTGTTGGTAAAGGCCTTCCCACATTCAGTGCATATATACGGTTTCTCTCCTGTGTGAATTCGCTTATGCATCTGGAGTTGTGACTTAGAAGGGAAAGATTTCCCACAGTCACTGCATTCATAGGGCTTCTCTCCAGTGTGGATTCTCTGATGCGCAATCAAGTGTGCCTTCTGGATGAAGGCCTGCCCACATTCAGTACATATGTAAGATCTCTCTCCTGTATGAATTCTCTGATGCATCCTGAGTGTGGATTTTTGGGTAAAGGCTTTCCCACACTCCCCACACTTGTGGTGTCTCTCTCCAGTATGAATTTTCTGATGTACATTGAGGGCTGAGTTCAGGGAGAAGCCTTTCCCACATTCGCTGCATTCATAGAGTTTTTCTCCAGTGTGAGTTGTCTGATGTCTAAGTAGAGAGGACACCTGGAAAAATGATTTTCCACACTCATTGCATTTATAGGGTTTTTCTCTAGTGTGGGTTTTCTTATGCACAATTAATTCTGAATTCTGGATGAAAGCCTTCCCACACTCAGTACATATATAGAGTTTTTCATCTCTGTGAACTCTCAGATATATACTGAGTAGTGGCTTCTGTGTAAACACATCTACACACTTGCTAAGTTCATGAGGTTTTTCCATAGTGTGGATTCTCTGAGGTGGAAAGAGGTGTGACTTCTGGGTGAAGATCTTCCCAAATTCAGAACACATGTCTGCTTTCTCCCCAGCAGGAAATTTCAGATTGTGACTGAATGCTTGTTTGAGACTGAGGACCTTTCCACACTGATCACTTTCACAGAACTGCACTCCTGTATGAGTGTTTTCATGGTTAGTATAAGAAGAGCTCTGTGTGAAAACTTGACCATGTCCGGTATTTTTATCAAAGTTCTTCGTTGCATTATTTTTACTAGGAATATGTATGTCTAAATTATGCCTAAAACTCTTTCCAAATGAGTCACATTTATGGGGTCTTTTCAGTGAAGGAATATGATTTGGGCTTGGATGAACAAATTTTCCACTGTCTTTATATTCAAAATCCCACTCTGTATTCAGTACTTTCTTATTGATGAAAGCAGCATGACTCAGAGGTTTGCTCTGTTTTTCCTGGTATCTTTTTATCTGCTCAGAATCTTGCCACAGTTCTTCTAAAATGGAATACAGTGAGTCATCTCTTGTATCTTCACCCTCCATTTCACCATGAAAGGAAGCTTTTCCAGAAATTCTTTTTTGTGAGGTCTTAATCCCAAACTTCCCATCTAAAAAGAGAAAGAGAGTAAGGTTGACAAAATGAATAGGTAACAGAGGATTAAAAGGTACTCATAAGCTAATATAAATTGAACACGTGGGAAACCAGCAAATATGATGATGATGGCCACAATGATAACAAGAGAGACACATATAGCATTTATGTGCCAAATTCCTGCATAACATTTATGATGTTCCAAGCACTGCTCTAAGAAATATATATACATATATGTGTGTGTGTGTGTGTGTGTGCGTGTGCACACACAACCCTACTCACTCAATCCTTTCAAAAGCCACTTGAGGTATTTTCAATTATTATCTCCCTATTGTAGATAAGGAAAGTGAAGCTCAGAATGGTTATTTATATAATTTGCCTTAAAACATATAGTTATTAAGTGTTGAAGACTGGAGTTCAACAGAAGCATTCTAGCTCTATTTTGGTAGGATATAAAGTAGGTGGATATAGAGATATAAAGTAGGATGGACTGAAGATTAAAAAGACAAAGTTTTTAAGGGAAAATATCTGTGCAGAGACTAGGTTTGGAGGCAGTAATTCGGAGTCCAAGTTCACATTAGCTTTTGATTCTAAATCTTCACGACTCTTGCTCCTTTTTGCTTGTTAGCAATAGTACCAAATCAGTGTGCTCAAAAATCAACTTAATTTGCTAACATAGTAGATTCTAAGAGTTCTCATTACAAGGAAAAAACACTTTTTTCTTTTTTTGGCATCTTTATGAGATGGATTTTAACTAGGCTTATTGTGGTAATCATTTCACAACGGATTTAAGTCAAGTCATTACGCAGTACACCTTAAACATATACAGTGATGTGTGTCGATATCTCAATAGAACCAAGAAAAAACTAATTTATTCATACCTATAGGAAACATACTGTAGCCATAGCCATCCTGTCCTATACAAACAATAATCGGATATCTATACTCCAACTGTCCACCCAGGTCAAATTGTTTCCTTGGCCCTAAAAACATATGCATCTAACAAGAAGCTTAGAATCAGAGAGAAGACAAGCTATCTGGGTAGGCTGAAAACTGTCCACTAGAATCTGTTTCATCGTTCTTTTTCAGTAACAGAGTAGAAGCTAGGCATATGACTGCCTAGTCATATAACATTTCTCAGCCTCCTTTGAAACTGGGTATGGCCACGTGACAATGTTCTCATCTGCAGAATGTGAGAGAAAATGATGGGTGCCACTTTCAAGCCAGAGCACTGAAACAGTAGGCATGTTTTCTCTATACCCTCTTCTACCTTCTTGCTTACTAAAATCTGGAGTTGGCAATAACAGATACAAATGTGCAGGCGCCCCCAAAAAATCCCCAAGAGATGGTGGGGTTATGTGATGGAAGGAACCTGGATTCCGTAATAAACATGAGCAATGAGGTGTCCCAAAGGCCTGTGATATTAGAAAGAGAAGTACAATTCTTTAGCATTTAAGTCACTGTACCTTATAATATCTTTATTGCTACAAAAAAACTTTAACATAATTCATAAACTAGTTTTACCCAGAGTGGGAATCACAGATGTTTCCATTACCGGAATAATGCACGAGACATATCAGAGTCTCGAAAATCTGCTCCTGCAATAATAAGCTTCTCTATACCTTTCCTGAGCCCACAGATTCAATGAACAGCACATAAATGGAGAGTCAGCAGTCTAGATAGCAGCCGCGTGTGCAAGCTTGCATTCTACTTGCCACTCACAAAACTGCCTCCAAAAGTCCCGTTTACTCGCGAATCAAAAGACACATTCATGCCTTCTCCTTCATTTAACCTGCTTAGCATTTTCTTTTGTGCCATTTGAACATGTACTTATGCTTCATTAAGCAGTTTAAGCCTTTTGCTTTGAAAAATTAATCTGATCATAGTGCTAGGGAGACTTTTTTTCCCCTAAAGCTCAATAGCAGACACTTTCTGTGCTATTCATTTTAATGGATTTCTATCATAATAGAAATACAATGCCTAAGCAGGAAACTCTTATTATCTGGTACTGCTGCTTTTACTTTCCAATTACAGTCTGTGTTCTACTGAAACCTCTCAGAAGAGTTTTTAAAAGTCCCTCCGGAAGGTAGAGAAGAACGATCATCATCAACGGCAAATGGCAGTTACAAAAAAGCAACACCAAAAGCCAGCTTCACGCTCAGGAGAGAACACTGTGCCTCCTCCTCGTGGTTTTGGGTACTCTACACATTCAGAGAAACTTCTCTAGTAACAAACTATAGAAATGAGCCCTGAAAGTATAGTCTTTTAAAAGTCCCTCTGAAATATAGCAAAATCCTCTTATATTCTTATCCCCCACAAATTCAATGAGTTAATACTGTTAAGTGTTCCCTTCATGCTTAGTGTTCAAACACTGAAAATAACATACTCTTATTGTTTTCAGGGACTTCCAAAAATTACTAGGAGCAGAAGCATCTGAGGAGCAAGGGAATAGTAACAGAGAGGGCAATAAATTTGCCATTTCATGGAATAGATGATAACCTGAAATGAAACAATAGGAAAGTGTCTATTACCTGGATAGGCAGAACACAAGATAATAAAGATCCTGGATGCAGAGGCGAACTTCATCTATGGTAGGCATTAAAGACCAGGTGAAAATTTGAGGAATGCATGAATTAAGGAACTATATGGATACAACTTGAACTGGAACTACATGGGCCACACTGGTCATGTGTTATATAATAGGGAATAATTGTAAGTTTACTTCATAAAGCCAGTGACAAAGATAAATGCAATGTTTTAGGTAATGAAATCTATCAGGAGCATTTAGGATGGACTAGATAGAAGAAGCGAATCTGCAAATCTCATTAGGAATAAAAGAAGCCAAGCATAAGGAAATACAGATCTGCTTTTGGGTGATGCCACTAGGAATTAAGATGAGAGTGTATCTGGATAGTATTCTTAAAAAAAAAAAAAGGAATTGCAAAGTAATTAGTAAGAGAAGATAACAAAAAGGGAAGAAATAAGAAACAGAATCTGACAAAATTTGTAACGTGAGGATTCCTGATGTGAGCAATGATGATGCCAATTCTTCACATACTAAGGAAGGATAAATAAAGTAAAATAGTCTATGGTAATTGGCTAATATGCACGTAAACATGGTGCTAGAATCCAGTTATAATACAGCAACTAGTGGTGTCAGCATAGAAGTCATCAGAATATAAATCAAAAGCTTAAGTGTTCAGAAAGGAAGACTCTTTTGAGTTAATTCCTATAGGAACAAATATTCAGAAGATAGTAAATAACACCCATAACCAGGGGCATCTCAGTGGGGGGAAAGCCTCTGTGGAAAAGAAAATGAGCAGATTAGCTGTAAATCAAGGAGAAAACAACTATATCATTAGAAAAGATGAAATAATAGGAATAAGCTAATTCACAGAAGGGAAAACCCAAATGGATAACTGATATCAGAAAGAGCAAAAAACAGGGTGCCTGGTTGGCTCAGTCAGTTAAGGGTCTGCCTTCAGGGCAGGCCACGATCTCAGGGGCCTGGGCTCAAGTCCCACAGTGGGATCCCTGCTTGGTGGGGAGTCTGCTTCTCCCTCTGCCTTCTGCCCCCCACTCGTGTTCTCTCTCTTATGTTCTCTCTCACACTCTCAAATAAATAAATAAAATCTTAAAAAAAAAAAGAAAGCGCAAGAAACAATACCACTTTATACTCATTAGATGGGCCACAAAATAAGAAATGCACATAATTCCAAGTGTTGACATAGATGTAATGAAATGGGCATACTTAGTGCACTGCATGTATATCCCAATGATCAAGTAATACCATTTCTATATAAATATCCCCAAGGCATAATCTCATAGGCTCATAAGATGATGTGTTTAAGAAATTCTTTGTTTTAAAAAATTGAGGTATAATTTCTACATAGTACAATTCAGATCTTAACTGCAGAGCTCAGTGAATTTTTTATACATATATACCCATGTAACCACCATCTAGATGAAAATATAAAACATACCTCACTTAAACACAGAGCTAAAAATCCTTACCAATTATTGCAAACTGATTCAAGAAATACATAAAAAAGTTAATAATCATGATCAAGTAGGGTTTATCCCAGTAAGGCAATGTCAGTTTAACATCTGAAAATCTGTGAAATTTACCATACCAGCAGAATAAAATGTTCATCCCAAATGCAAAAAAAGCACCCAGGAAATCTAATATCCATTCATGTTAAAGACCTTCATCAAACTAGGAATAGAAAGAAATTGCCACAAGTTAATAAAGGACATCTAAGGAAAACCACAGCTAATATACACAATGCTGAAAGACTGAAAACTTTTGCTCTCAAGATAAAATAAAAATTGGGGCACCTGGGTGGCTCAGCGGGTTAAAGCCTCTGCCTTCGGCTCAGGTCATGATCCCAGGGTCCTGGGATCGAGCCCCACATCGGGCTCTCTGCTCAGCAGGGAGCCTGCTTCCCTTCCTCTCTCTGCCTGCCTCTCTGCCCAGGTTGTACCCCTGTTTAACCTCTTCTGAGCTTCCCAAGCCCCCCCACCACCACCACCCCTGCCGTTGTATCATTTGGCTCAACAAAGAATGGGAAGTTAGACCCTAACTGAAGTTTTCAAAAACAAGGCATTATAAAAAGCTATTTAGGGGCGCCTGGGTGGCTCAGCGGGTTAAAGCCTCTGCCTTCGGCTCAGGTCATGATCCCAGGGTCCTGGGATCGAGCCCCACATCGGGCTCTCTGCTCAGCAGGGAGCCTGCTTCCCTTCCTCTCTCTGCCTGCCTCTCTGCCTACCTGTGATCTCTGTCTGTCAAATAAATAAATAAAAATCTTAAAAAAAAAGATAAAATAAAAATAAAGGGCACGCAGACTAAAAAGGTCATGCAGACTAAAAAGTAAATGATAAAAAGACATGGTAATTGATGCAAAAAAATTTTAAGGAATTTACAGAAATACTCACTAGAATTAATACATGAATTTATTAGCAAGGTCTCAGAATATAGGTTCAATGTACAAGAATCAATTGTAAGAGTTCTACCTC